GTGTGTGTGTGTGTGGCAGGAGGCTCGTCTGGAACCAGCACCAGTGGCCGCGCCCGCTCAGACCCCACACATCAGCACCGGCACAGCGGAGGAGGACACTTCAGTGCTGCGGTGGCCATGGACTGCCACAACCTCTGCCCACAGGTAACACACACACACACTCACACACACACACACACACAATCACTCAATATCAGCCTGTAGGTTTCTGTCAGGCTTGTGTTCCTGATGGCTGATCCTGCATAGGGAGAGGGATTCTCCACACTCTGCAAGTCTCATCAGCTCAACTGGTAATGAACGGTGTGCTGATCTGAGATTTACCCTTTAACTTTCTGGAATACATCGGCCCCAAATTCAGTCATAGTTTTCTCGGGAGGAGGAGACGCTGTCTCAGTGAGCAGCTTCAGACTCAGTCAGCCAGGGATGAGCTTATGGGCTGAGAGCTGAACAGGGATCATTCAGAAAGACAGTTCATATAGGAACCAAACTAGTTTTGCTGTCGTGGCAATGACTGAACTGCCCTACAGTGGAGCATTAGAGAGTCAACAGCGCTGTTCATCAGGGATCAGGGGGTTCACTGAGGGAATCTGGGTTTGCTTCTAAACAAGCCACCATTTTCCCACACAGAGGAGGGAGAAGATCCACACATCTCTTTCCTAGCCTCCTTGTTGTGTTTTACATGACAGTGACACACTTTTATTGTGAAGTGCAGTGGTGACGTGCATGTTAATGTGTGTGTGTGTGTGTGTGTTAATGTGTGTGTGTGTGTGTGTGTTAATGTGTGTGTGTGTGTGTCCTTCTCAGGCAAGACAGGCGTTTGTGCCGGCGCTGGGCTGGGTTGGAGACGGACTCCAGCAGGCGTCAGGAGAGACTCACCCCGTACAGGAGACCACTTTCCACGTGCCCCCACACCAGCCCAAAGCCCTGCACCCCCACCAACACCACCACCATCATCACCACCACCCGCCGCCGCATGGACAGGGCCCTGCCCGACCTCGACCCCGGCTCTACTCTCCGTCCCACAGCGCCTCCACGCAGGACTCAATGGAGGTGACGCACGGACACCTGTCCATGACCTCGCTGTCTTCCTCCGCCTCGTCCTCCTCCACCTCCTCCTCCTCCACCGGCAACCATCACTACGCCTACCAGAGCCGCCCGCTGCCCCACGGCCTGGGCTTCGGCCACAGCGGCAGCATGACTCTGGGCCTGGGTGCCTTCTCCAACCCGCGACAGGAGACGGGCGTGGCAGGCGTAGGTCTGCGGCCGGGTCTGGAGCGCGAGGAGTCCCCGATGGCGGGTGTATGTGTGCAGCAGAGCTCCGTGGCCAGCTCCTGACCCGCCTGAGGAGGCCGATTCACGCGCCCGTCCATACTGGAGCTGAGCGGAGCTGGAGCCAAGCGGAGCCAGCACTCCTGCGGCCGTGGACGTTAACTTCGGTCTGCAGCTCTGACGCTGCCGGAGCCCAGCGCTCGCCCGCCGCCGCCACCGCAGCGTTTCTTCTTCATGTGTCAGTCGTGACAGAGGTGCGGCCGCGGGCACTGCTCCTCAACATGGCCTTATCCTACAGACTGAACGAGACGAGCCGGACGTTTCTTCTTCTTCTTCTTCTTCTTCTTCTTGGAGTGACAAAAGCTTTGATGTATTTTTGAGGACGTGCGAACACCTTCATCACGACACCGAGAACAGAACGCTGATTTGAGGCCTTTCTTACCCAGAGTTCCTCCTGCTGATGTCCCAGGACTGCCACTGCCGCCGCCGCGTCCCCGCGCTCGCTCTTCTGCTTTATCTGAGTTACGCAGCATGTGTGTTTACTTTCGGCCCTCCCGCTCTTCTGCTTTGATTTTGGCTTCACGATTATGCTGTGAATTTTACACCACTTTCGTTTCTCCCTTTTGATAATTTATTGTACCAAAGGCATTTTTTTATAGAACATAGATGTCTGTAACCAATAATGTAGCAGTTCTGCACTTTGAAGCAAAGGTGTGTGAGTGTGCGCATGTGTGTGTGTGCGCGTGTGTGTATGTGTGTGTCATGTCATGTGCGTAAACGGCTGTCAGAACTGAAGTGATGATGTTTGATGCTGCGGCGCACAATGGAGAGCTCGATCCTGGACACCATCGCTTACGAGATTCTGTCGCTGTTTTTCTGTTTCTTGGTTAGCGGTCAGCAGAGGGCGCTGTGTAGGATTAGCATCGATCTCTAGAGGATGCTGTGGGCATGGCGATCTGTCTAGAGGGCGTTGTGGGCGTGGAGATCTGTCTCTAGAGGATGCTGTGGGCGTGGCGATCTGTCTCTAGAGGGCGCTGTGTGGGATTAGCATTGATCTCTAGAGGGCGCTGTGGGCGTGGCGATCTCTCTCTAGAGAGCGCTGTGGGCGTGGCAATCTCTCTAGAGGGCACTGTGGGCGTGGCGATCTGTCTAGAGGGCGCTGTGGGCGTGGTGATCTCTCTCTAGAGGGCGCTGTGGGTGTGGCGATCTCTCTAGAGGGCGCTGTGGGCGTGGCGATCTCTCTAGAGGGCGCTGTGGGCGTGGCAATCTGTCTCTAGAGGGCGCTGTGGGCGTGGCTTTTTGTCTCTACAGGGCGTTGTGGGCGTGCCGTTAGTCTATTTAGAGGGCACTGTGGCGTGGGCTGGTGTTGGCGGCGGAGCTGCTCGGCGGGCCCACAGCAGCCAACAGTGGGAGGTCGGCCTCATGGGGGCGCTGACTCTAGTATGAAGCGATTCGGCAGCGCAGCAGGAGCCTGCTCCATCTGTCAGTCTGCGCCTCGCGGTTGCGAACAGAAGCTCGCTTTAGGGTTCCTGCAGGCACGGCGTACGGGCGGAGTCCACGAAACAGGCTTCAGGTGTTTACTTTGTGACCCCATTTTAATAGCTGAAATAGAATTTATGTACATAATTATATTTTTTTAATAAAGGAAGTTTAGAACTCACTACTTTTTT